CACCCCCACCCGAGAAAATGGAGGCAGCTTTGATGTGGGCGCCTAGCCTGGTGTGGTGGGCTGGGGCCAGGCGGGCAGGGAGCAGTCGGGCTTCGCCCCGCAAGTGGGGCTGGGCTGAGGGTGACTCACAGAGGTCGCAGGGTTGGGCCGGTCTGGCCCTTTTTGTCTTTTTTACTGACCGGCAACGGGATTGCAACCCTCAGTGTTGCACCCGCACCGCGCTCAGCCAGTGAGCGGGAACCGGTCTCCACATGGGATCCGAACCCTCGGCGGGAGCGCCGCTGCGCTCCCAAGCGGCGCATTCTCCAGTGCGCCACCGGGCCGGCCCAAGTCTTTGATATTTGGTTGAGTTTTTTCACACTAACATTACACCTCAACTTGGGCACTAATTTTTCAAAGCCTGAAATAAAATGTAGTCCTCCCAAAATAGTTTTAACAGAAAAATATTTAACACAGTTTTTTAACTATTTAACTTTTTTAAATTAAAATTTATAAAACAAAAAATATAGTTCTTCAGTTGTAGTAGCCACATTTCAAGTACTCAACAGCCATACTACCATAATGGACAGTGTAGATACAAATTATCTTTTCTAAATAAAAATTTCCCTCCATATCTTGTTTTTTATCTACTCACATTTCCCCTTTTCTAAAACCTGAATAAGGCTAATAATGACCTTAACTCTAAGTTGCTTAAATTGCTCTAAGGAAAAGCTGAGAGTTGGCTAATACAGTGACTTATCTGATTTAGAGTATTTTATATTTAAACAAATTAAACTGCCATTTCCACCCATGATCTCAACCTACAACTGTAACTTTTTTAGCCTTGAAATATTTTTGAAATGCATATATATGTATATATCATGGTGATGCAACAAAAGGAACTGATGCTATCTAGGGAGAATCATGTCTTGAAATCTGCCTGTAAAAGACTGAATCCTTACCTTTAAAGAATGTTTGAAAGATTAAAAGAACAAAGTTGTCTTCTAAGTACTTAGTTTTATATATATGGTAATATAGCTGCGGTGGTTTTAAAAATACATCCACAAATTGAGATCCCTCCCTTCAAGAGATGAAGCTTAATACTCTTCCCTTTGAGTATGAACCAGACTCAGTGACTCCAAAGCATATGGCAACCAAAGATTAGTTTATTAAAATAAAGACTGCAGCTTTCATCTTGGGTATGTAACTCTTACATCACTTGCTTTGGGGGAAGCCACCTGGCATGCTGTGAGCTGCCCTATGGAGAGACTGATGTGACAAGGAACTGAAGGAGGTCTTTGTCCATCATGTACCAAGGAATCAAGGCCTTTCATCTAACAGGCTACAAACAACACAGGCCAGTAAACGACTATGTTAGTGGGCTTGGAAGGGGAGCTTCATACAAAGTGAGGCTTTGAGATGACTGTAGTCCAGGCTGACTCTAACCTCAGAAGAGACCCTGTTCCAGAATCACCGAGCTTAGCTACTTCGAGATTTCTGACCCACAGAAAACTGTGAGATTAATAAGTGTTTATTGTGTTATGCTGCTAAGTTTTGGGGTAATGTGTTATACAGCAATGGATAATAATACAATGGCTTATAAAGCTTGAAAAGTTCCTCATTGTCAAAGGAGGCATAAATCAAGTAAGATTTTTTTTTTTAAAGATGACCAGTAAGGGGATCCCAACCCTTACTTTATGTGCCAGCACCACGCTCTCCCAAGTGAGCCAACCGGCCATCCCTATATAGGATCCGAACCCGCGGCCCTGGTGCCACCAGCACCACACTCTCCCAACTGAGCCACGGGCTGGTCCTCAAGTAAGATATTTTTCACTAAGCTACCCAGAACTAGCATACCCAAATATCTATTTCTAGAAGTGAGATACTTACTAAAACCATGCTGTTACTGCTCAATTAAAAAAATTAACCTTTAGAGTATGAATCCTAGTCTTTGAAATTTTCCTAAATGGTGTCAATTCAGCATTTAAAGGCATTTTTGTCATCTGCAGTTAAGTCTGGTGGTGAATACATAAAATAGTTCATTATGAATCAAGCTTAAGGCATACTTCTAAAGGAAAGGGCTTGGTGTTCTGGTGTGGGAAAATGCAAGAAGTCCTAAAAATGTCTGATATTATAATCAAGGTTAAGTACATATTCCTAAAACAACTTCCTTGAAAGATGGTACTAATTAGGATATGTAATTTTAGTAATTTAAAAATCAGACCGGATTTTTAAAAAACCATAATATACATTGGGAAATTGGTACACCTTGTGATATATACATTTAAAGTAAATAGGCTTATTGTCTTCTCTGGAATTAGCAGAAATGACCACTAGATGCCGCTGTTGTTGCTTTCTTTTTTTTTAATACAGTAAAAAGCAAGATCAAAGTACAGTTCAGAAACAAGGAAATCAATTTTCATGTCATAACTAATACTAGAACAAAAATTGTTGGATTATATCAATAAATAGCCAAGACCCTGTTTTCACTACACAGAAGTTTATTGTGAAAGTAAATGAAACATACAAACACACAGTATGGCTAATGGTGGCAAAAACAATCTGGTAGCTTAAGGCCAGTTTTCATGGAGACGAATTTAGAAAAGATGATGCAATGATGTAATTTTGTTTAAATACAGATTATGGTAAAATATCAAATTGCATCAATAACTTAATAAAAGTAGTTTTCAAAGCCTGCACTATTGGTGAAAAAGGGATCATGATCTTAATGCCAGCATTAAGACAGACAGAAGCAACACAGTGCTAAAAGACAGGAAAAATTCAGTATTTACAGAAGGATGGCAAACAGGAACATTTAATAACATTTGATCTTATTTACTGGTGGACTAAAAGCCCTTAGCTAGAAGCAAGAGAAAAATGTACCATCATCACGTTATTTAAAAAAAATAATTAAGTGCAGATGTCAAAAACCAAGGAGTTCTGTGATAAAGTAACCTTAAAACACCACTGTAAGGATCACTTAAAAGGCGATTCCCTCAGAGGAAATTAGGGCACCAAGTGTGTAAACATGTGAGCTGCACAACACCAAATATCAACCAAATTCATTCATAGTACTTACTTACACAAGATCAGCATGGTCTTTTATGATGCATTATTGTTTATAACAATTTAAACACACTCCTTACCATGCATGACTTCAAACATATGACAAACATTTTTATTCTGAGATACAGGATATCTGTTTATGAATTATAAGACCTATATACAATGAAAGCCACACATCCCTCATTAATCAAGTATAGTTATATGCTTTTTAAATGCAATGACCTTATTCAGACTTCAGTTCATTTTCTGAATTGACTGTGTCAGTTTTTCAAACTCTTTAAAATAATGCCATTCTATTATGATAAAATACATTTTTGCAAAAATTCATAAATGTACTAATATTTAATGAATATGACCATGGAAAATATTTGTAAAGAGGTGCCAAATGACTTAGCACTTTTTTCCAGTCTTGTAGTTAAAAAAAAAAAACAACTTGCACTCAATTTGACAGTAAGCCTATTTAAAAAATATTCTTAGGGCCGGCCTGTGGCTCACTCGGTAGAGTGCGGTGCTGATAACACCAAGGCCACGGGTTCGGATCCTATATAGGGATGGCCGGTTTGCTCACTGGCTGAGCGTGGTGCTGACAACACCAAGCCAAGGGTTGAGAGATCCCCTTACCGGTCATCTTTAAAAAAAAAAAAAAATTCTTACACTAATTCATCCCAAAAGGTTCTAGTAACAGTCCTTTTGCAAAATACTATATTTAACTGAGAATGCTTTTTCCAGAATAATTAATGGAAGAAAATGTATCCTCTGCACAGATGAACATTTTCTCTAAGACTAATCTTTCATCACCTAGCATTGTTTTTACAAAAGCATGCAATATAAAATACACATAAAAGCAGCTATCTTAAACATGATTTTAATACAATATTACCTTTGTAGCTGATTCATCACTGTCTCCAGTTTAATATGCTGTTACATACATGAAGAAGCTCCAGTATCCCTTTTCTGATTGACTTTTTAAAAAAATCCCTGAATAAAACAGAAGCCAGCCTGTGACTTCTTTAGGCATTTCAGTAGAAGATTATCATCTATGGTGAATATCTTCACCCAAACTCATGATTACAGAACAGAATCTAAAACTGATCTGGGGCAGTTTACAGAATTAATACCAATTAAAAATTTGTATGTTTAAAAAGAAAAGAGTGCTGATTATTAACATTGAAAAGGATACTGCAACTTTAACAACTGTAAACTTTGTTAGAAGGCTGTGGTAGACAGCTCTATGCTACTAGGTTTTTAGCCTGTAAATAATGCAAACATCAGCAGCAGTTTTAAAATGCTGTAGACTATTAAAACACAAAAGGAAACAGGAAAACAAAATAAGAATGCTTATCTAAAATGAACTGTATAACCAACACATCTAAAAGTACAAAAATAAATCAGAGCAACTGATTAGAGAAAACCCTCTGATATAAATTTCAATTTCTTGATGGGTTTCTAAAAGACATGAACTTTTAAATTAAAATGGAGGAAAAAAGAGCTTTACAAGTGGATAGTTTCAACTCACTAAAGTAATGCCAACAAGGTAAGCTTGCATAGAAAAAAATTTCAAATTATTACTGGCTACATGCTTAAAAAATTAGAAATGCAGGTATTATAGTGCAAAACCATGGCAGTTTGTGATGTCTGTTACTGCCTAAGGTTGAGAAATAGACCGTACGTAGTACCTCCAGTTATCACAGTTTCTGGTCTTTTAATCAATTATTTCTGGCAACTAGAAACAATATGTAGGTAAAGATGGGCGGCACATCTGCTGTGCTATTAATTAACGAAGTTTGAGGTCATCGCCACCACCTAAATTGGAACCAGGACTAGGGTCTTGTCTTCTTGCCTGCAATGACAAAATCATAATTTGGAGTCAAAAAGTGTTTTGAAAATCAAAATGTTAGATATAGATAAAATATAAGACACAGTAGCACATGAGAAAAGTTCAACCTAAAAACTTTTCAACCAATACCTTCATACGTAACAGGCAAAAAAATTATGTATGACATAATTTGCTTAAGTTTCCTTAAAAATCAAGAATAAAAATCATTTTATATTCAAAAGAACATTATCATAAATATGTACTATGTATAAAAGAACAATAAATCTATGTTTACAGTTTTGGAACCAGATGGTTTAACACATTAGCCAGTCACCTTAGAAGCAAACTTTTCTTCTCATTAATAGCTGTCATTTATTGAGCATTTATTGACATTTAAATGCTAGGCAATGTTCTAAGCACTCTCAATGAATAAACTAATTTAATTCCTCCTGACAACCTATGACATAGATGCTATTACTCATCTCCATTTTACAGATAAAGAAACTGAGTTGCTGAGAAGTAGTGCATGGTCTACTAATTATGACTGGAAAATGTAGTAATAAATTCCATTTCTGTCAACTGAGCTTTAACTAAAAATCTCTACACCTCAAGAAATAAAATCCAGGATTACTATGGATAAAACACTGTTTCATGAATAAAAACAGAAATATAAAATTGGGGTAGTTGGTGCACCTATATACCCAGAAGTAACTTCATGACACTATTTACCAGTTAAGAGGCTTGACAATTATAAACACTGAAGATTTCAAGATTCGAGTTAGAAAAAACATTCCTACTTTATCTATGGCAAGTTACTTAATAGAGAGCATCTACCAACTAACATATCGTATATGACACTCTCTAATATAAAGTTTTTATATAATATAGTGCTCTGCCCCTTTAGTCCACATGCAACATTTTATTTCAGTCTCTCACAAATTCTGATCAGCTTTCTTTAGTGTCTCCAAATGTTAGCCAAGTACAAACATCTGTTTGTACCCAAAACTGTTCCTACACTAACAGTTTTCCTATGTTAGATCCTGGCAACTTCCTTTTACCTGTGGTTGGGCAAAAACCCTTGAGGTCACCCTTAACATATTTCTCTCACACCCAACAGTGAATTCCGACAGCTCTACCTTTAAGTATGTCCTGAATCTGACCACTTTTGACTACCTCTACCACTCTCTCTCTAGTGCAAGCCACCATCATGTTTTACTGGATGTTCTTGTTTTTAGCCACATCTGTTATATGCCAGCTGTTGGGACTAACTTCAATTACCTGTACAATATTTTTAGCTAAATGAGATTGTGTATTAATAGCACCAACTGATTCTCCATTGTCTATGTCAGTTTTTGGAAACAAACCTAACCAAAACTCACATTCTGATTTCAATTCTTAAGATCTAAAACAGTTGTTAGGGCTAGCTGGTTAGCTCAGTTGCTTAGAGCACGGTGTTATAACACCAAGGTCAAGGGTTTGGATCCCCGGACTGGCCAGTGCAAAAATAAATTAAAAAAAATAAATAAAATAAAACATTTGTTAGAGAGAACATCCTTGACCTGCAAGAAAACAAGTCATGCCTGTACTGTAAGATCAAGTTTAGTCAAAAGCTCCAGCTATGTCATCACTTCTCAAGAGGGTTATGTTATTTAGGCAAAAATGACAGCTGCCTTGTTCACTTTTGAACAAATCAAATAAAACCCAATTCTAACTTCTTTAATCTTTCTTATAGATTTTGATATATTTCTCCAGCAGATTTTAACTATTTTTGTTAGCAGACTGCACAATGACTAAATTTTAACACATTCATTTTAATTAAATAGGTTAAAGTTATGCTGCATGGTCACAGACTGCAAGTGCTATGGGATGCAAGTGCATCAGAAAAACAATTTATGTTCCACACAATCAATGCTAAGTGTGGTATAAAGACAGATCAATTCTGCAAAATCAGAGATGGTGATATAAGCATCTGGTTTCAGTCAATGAAGGTTAGAAAGGGGCTGAGCAATGAAGAAACACTGAGAAAAATCAATCCTAATTACATATTTATAAATCACTACTAACCTAACAATAACACTTTGTGAAAAGAATATTTCAGCTTGTGTCTTGGGATAAGAGTAATTTTCAAATTATTTTAATAATTATTTTAATTTAATAATTAAATTATTTAAATTAAATTAAATAATTATTTAATAATGGGAATAACTCCAAATGGATGACAAAGAACATTCACCAGCACTTGGAGTTTCCCCTTCTGGTCATGGCTGTGTAGAAATAGCCATAAATTTATTTGTTTAAAATAAAATTTTGGTTAAAGCATGGAGAATAGGCTTAAAAAAGTCATTTTGCTGTGTATTTGTGTTTTTAATCTCTACTTACATTGTGAAGGAACTGAGGAAGATGTAAGGGAAGACAATGTGAAGGGGAGTCAAAAGTAGAAACAAAAAAAGAGGAAGGGAAGTCTGACTATGAATGAGAGGAGAAAAGGGAAGAATGAGAGAGCTGGGAGACTGGGAGGAAATTTAATGCTAGAAGGGAAAATGTATGGGCTGTTATGAAGAAGACAAATATAGGAACAGATTTAGGTTCAGTGAAATAGCTTCCATGGAACTGAAATTCAACAACTGGATGAGCTGCTTTGGGAAGCAGTTCTTCCTACTGTGGCAGTTTTCTAATGGAGGCTGGATGTTTTAGAAGGAATTCCTCTATGGGTAACAAGCTAGACTAGATGATGGCAAAGAAACTCTCTGAGTGCCATCATCCTAAAAGCATAATGTCCATAATTTCTAGTTTCTTTCACTCCAGTCAATCCACATGGGCCCTTGATTATAACCTTTAATTAAGTTATTTCAGAATAGGGTTTTAATATAAAGGAGACATCCACTGAAAGAGCTTGACTTCAGAACATGAATCTGTTTTTAATATTTATAAATAATTAATCTAGACATTTTACTACAGACGTCTTACCACCACAGTTGCTCCTGTTTTCTTCTTTCAGTATATTATCACCCCAAAACATGGCAAATCCTGTTTCTAGAAGGCAGTCATGAGACGACTCCAAATGAGAGACAAAGCACAATCACTAGCACCTGGAGTATTCTCTACTGGTCAGAAATGTGCAGATATAGCCAAGAACAAGGGTATACAAATAAATAAAACTTCTTGGTCGACCGCCATTCTTTTATTATTAAGATCATCAAAATAATTGCTAAAAGCTTTTCATGACAAGAAATGCCCTAATAATTAAAAACAGGTACAATTTATTGACTGTATACTATTGTCCAGATACTGTGCTATACACTTTATGTTTGCTACCTGGCTAAAAGTCAGAACATGGGCCGGCCCGTGGCTCATTCGGGAGAGTGCGGTGCTGATAACACCAAGGCCACGGGTTTGGATCCTATATAGGGATGGCCGGTTTAGCTCACTGGCTGAGTGTGGTGCAGACAACACCAAGCCAAGGGGTGAGATCCCCTTACCGGTCATCTTTTAAGAAAAAAAAAAAAAAATAAATAAATAAATAAAATAAAAGTCAGAACATAGTATTATAGAATTTTAGAATGGCAAACTACTTCAGAGATCTGGTTCAACTTTCATTGTACAGAAGATAAACCTGAGACAGAGAAGGTCTAAAGTGATTTCCAAGAGGAGAAAGAGTCAGAACACAAACCCAGACCTCTGGAAAAGATGAACCTTTAACTTACAATCAGCACTAATGTCAGCCTCCTTAGTTATTGCTATTTCCCCCTATTGCTAAGCCTTGAGGAGACACAAGGCAGAAATTTTAAGTCCTAACATGAGAAAAAGGAATGAATTTTCTAACTTTCTAACTCATTAAAAGGTTAAAAAAAGTGTGTGGGGGGGTGTCAGCAGACAATTATAAACACTTGTGAGATAAGTAGACTAAAGGAGCTGGTCCAACAGGCATGTCAAAAGATATAGTTCTTATAAAGTTGCCTACTTTAAATATAAAGTAACATTTTGAAATAAAAGAAATACTGGAAATAATCTACACTACTGGGCTTGGATCAGGATGGCTCTACCACTTTGGCTATGTAAACTTAGGCAAGTTTCTTATCCTCTTTTCAGCCTCAGTTCCTCAAACTAAAGATACACTTCATAACAGCACTTAACAGTCATATGTAGGGCTGACTGTTAGCTCAGATGGTTAGAGCACGTGCTGATAACACTGAAGTCCAGGGTTTGATCCATGTACCGGCCAGCCAACCAAAAAAAAATCCTATGTAAAGCAAAAATTATAATGTATACTGCCTGGCATATAGTAAGCACTTATTTTGTTGTTATTACAGCAAAGCTGTTCATTATTTCCTGCTGTAAGTTTATTGAACTGTGTCCCCCAAAGTGTGTATATTAGAAGCTTAATTCCCACTATAACTGTTGAGGGTGGGAAATTCTATTACGGTAATTGAAAGGTGGGGCCTTGAAGAGGTGATGCTGTAACGAATGGATTAAAAGTGTACGACAGGGGCGTGGTTCTGAGGGCTTTAAAAGAAGAGAGAGAAGTCTGTTATTTCTCTCTGCTCCACCACTTTTGCAATGTGATATTCTGCCATCACTGTCACTACAACCAAGTCTCTCGTCAGATGTGTTCCTTGGGCTTTGGACTTCCCAGCCTCAGAAACTGTAAGCAATATATTTGGTTTTCTTTATAAATCATCCAGTTCCGTCTATTGTCATAAGCAACAGAAATGGACTAAGACACTTCCCAATTTACCTTTATGAGCTACTTTTCAAATGTTAAAAAAAATGCATCCTACAAATACAGCAATTTTTACAAAATAACCAAGATTAAAAAAAAAAAAAATCTTTTTTTTTTTTTTTTTGGCTGGGGGTCAAAAAAGGAACCAGAACCCTTGTTCTTGGTGTTAAGATCCCCTTCCCGTTCATTTTTAAAAAAAAACCAAAATTAAAAAAAAAAAAATCTTTTTTTTTTTTTTTCTAAAGATGACCGGTAAGGGGATCTTAACACCAAAAACAAGGGTTCTGGTTCCTCTATTGACCAC